CATGTGACAGAATCCAGTGATAAACATGGAATACAGATTTCAAATTAAGGCCCCTCCCCTATATACACATAAAAACCCACCTTAACACACATCTCCAAAGTATATCATAATAAGAAGCACTCATCTAAAGTCTACTGATCTCTTGTGCTGGGCCAGGCACTGTACTAGGTCCTTTGCAGGGATTATGTCCATACCCACAATAAGTCTGTAATAAGAAACTGAGGCATGTGGGGAAGTCAAAGGACTGATCCAAACCATTCAGCCTATCCTGATCCTGAACACCACTGCCTCCAATGAAATAAGTTCTGCTCCAAGGGATCTGCATTCCTAATTTTGACCAAGATAACATTTCCCGAAGGCTGTGCATGTTTGCACAGCATGTGTGCTCGGCGCCTGTCATGCTTACATTTGTTTGGCTGGTGGGGGAATGAGTGCTGCCTTCTGGGGGCTGGGGGGGATTTCATGCAGCTGCTGCTTCCCTGGCTCCTGGGGAAAGACCACAAAGGAGAATGACTCAGATTTCTCCTTCCTGATGCCTGCACATCACAAACTCTCCCAACGCCAGCATTTTTTGTTTGTTTGTTTGTTGTTATTTTTTTCCAAACAAAACACAAATCACTAGAAGAGTTTGGGACTTTCAGTAGTGCTGCTTTTGTGGATGGAGGTGTGTATTGCACTGGGTATATTTTCAACACTGGACTCTGTGTTTTAAAAAAGACACCTTCTCAATTGAAGGTGGGGACACTGTGAGAATTAGCTGCATTTGCCTGAGCTAAAAATGGCAGTTCATTTCCTTCTGTAAGTTCACCTTAAGAATGAATTAAAGAAGAATAAATATAAGATGGGGATAGAGGTTTTCCTGTGCTTATAACTCATGTGCTCATCCTGCAAACATATACTGAGTGCCTACTACCTCCTCAACGCTGAGTCAAGTGACATCTATACACCCAGTAATGAGCAAAAGATGCTGTCCGTACAGATGATAGGCATTTAAAATTTTTTGCTGTTGTTTATTTTGGGGGGGAAT